TCTCTGGATGCAGGCGTACCACAGGGTGGCGTCTTGTCTCCTCTTCTTTTCTCAATTTTTATACGTTCTATTACTTCAGGAATTTCTGCGCTCTACCACCTTTATGCAGACGATCTCCAAATATATTCTCAAACAAGTATTAAAAATCTTCCATCTGCCGTGCTATCCATAAATCGTGATCTCACAATTATTTCTGAATTTTGCACATCTTATGGAATCAAGGTTAACCCTAGTAAAACACAGGTAACATGGCATACGCTGCCCTTTGTTTGTTTTGCGAATTTTGTTATTCCATATAGTAAGGTTGTAAAAAATCTAGGGGTTCTAATTGACAGTACAATGTCTTTGGCACCTCAAATTGAACAGATAAGCATTAAAATGTTTGCAGCTTGTGGAAGTCTTAAGAGACTCCGAAATTTCCTGCCCATTTCTACCAAAATTGCGTTAGCACATTCAATTTTGTTACCTATTTTAGACTATGCTGACATATGCTACACTGATATTACCATGGAGCAATTAAGCAAGCTTGAGCGTCTTCAGAATATATCCATTCGATTCATATTTGGTTTATGCAAGTATGATCATGTATCCCAATTTTGAAATCAACTCAAGTGGCTCCCTATTCGCCTTTGCCGGAATGTTCATATACTCTCTTTACTTTTTTGTGTACTGTTTGATCTGAAATCTCCAAGGTACCTTAAGGAACAATTTCACTATCGACATGAATTTCATAACCGCAATTTGCGTTCAGTGTATAGCTTGGCTTTAAATACTCCTTACAAGGTAACTTCATTTTATAATAAATCATTTACTTCACTAGCAACGCAACTTTGGAATCATTACCACTTAACATTCAGAAAGCGCAATCTTTACAGTCTTTTGAAAACCTACTTAAGGAGTATTATTTGAAGTTCCCGTCATAATAATAAATTATATGTATTTCCTCTTTTCGTATATACTTGATTTTTTTTGTAAAATTTTCTCTGCAGTATATGTTTGAATTAAATTACAATTATTGTACATATATATGTATGTATATATCTATGTATATATATTATAAGTATGTATATCAGTATATATATTTATAATCATTAAATATTGTATATATATATATATATATATATATATATATATACAGGGTGGTCCAAACAGTGAGGTTATAAAATTTTTTTTGATTCCTCACACCTAGGGGTATCCGAAAATACCCTATGTATGTTACGCGATTTTTTGTAGTTTTCGAGTTATGATTTTTTTTGCCCTTTTTTGAAAATATTCACCCTAAACAGCTTAACATTAAAAAAAATGTAATTGTGAAATTTTTTTCCAAGTTTTTTTGTTTGTAGCATAATCCTTATGAGTTGCCCTATTATGCATAAAATAATTAGCTGCCTAACATTCACCGAAGATACAATAATTTTAAACGAAACTTAAAAATTTTCTGTCAGGAGAGTGGGGCTTGAATTTTCAACATTAAATGAAAAATAGTAATAAATGATTTCATACTTTCTAATTAATTTTAAAAACTTGGCAGTACCTTAATCTTTCATAATAACATTAAAAAAATGACAATTAATAGGCCAATTTTTCTGTTACAGACTTCTGAAGTCACTCAGGCAGGAAACTACCTGAATAGTTAATTTGATTTAAAAAATCTTTTTTATCATTTCTAGGGCTAAACTAAGATAGTAAATGCTTCAGGTTAGCAAAAATAACATCAAGTGTCTTTACTTATTGTTTAAAATTTATAGACAACAAAATATCATTTTACTACGTTCTGGACAAATGATTTCAAGATTCATAATAAAAGTAGTAAATAATTTAAGATAAATTTATTTAAAGTAAATTTTCGAAATGGCGGCCATTAACTTCGATACACAGTCTACATCGTCTTAAAAAATTTGCTTTTAGTCTTCGAAAAGCATTCGTATTTTCTTTGATTTTTTCTGCGCACTGTCTCAATTTTTCCCTTAATTCATTTTCCGAATTAATTTTTCTAGCATACACCATCTCTTTGTAGAATCCCCAAATAAAAAAAAATCTATAGGGTTTCAATCTGGTGAGCGTGCAGGCCATTCGATTGGCCCTGCACGCCCAATCCACCTTCCTGGGAAAGTTCTGTTGAGGTGCTCCCTCACTTGTCTTTCAAAATGGCAAGGAGCACCGTCATTTTGAAATATCATATCCCTCCTCGTTTGTAAATTAACTTCAAACAATAAACCATTTAAATTATTTTGTAGAAAATTCAGGTACTGGGACCCGTTCAACCTAGACGACAATTCAAAGGGCCCAACCATTTCTCCATTTATGACTCCTGACCACATGTTGATACTAAATCTATTCTGAAAATTTGACTGCCTTGCTTTTTTTGGGTTTTCAATGGCCCAGCTATGATGATTGTGAATGTTAAAGACGCCAGTCCTTTCAAACCGGGATTCATCCGTCCAGAGTATCTTTTTAAAAAAAATCCGGGTCTTCCGCAGATCTTTCCAGCATTATTTGGCAGAAAGCAACACGCCTTGGATAGTCTGCGTCGTTAAGTTGTTGAACACGCTGAATATGAAACGCGTGATATCCCTCTGGAAAAAAAGATTAGTATTTTTATTGTAGGTTGTCATTGTACACAATACTAGAGGTACGTACCAATAGAGCACGCGAACGTGAAACTAAAAGTTGGGATTCGCTAGAGTGGCGTCCTAGCGCCTATTTTTGAATTACGAGCGCTTGTTTAAGGGTCTCTACATCTCTCTCTTTTACACGCACACACAACACATTAGACATCGACAATTCACAGTAAATTAAATGAGTGTGATTTGAAATGGCAGTGCAGCAATGCGTTGGGATTTTGAATAAAGAGGTCTACAAAATAATGAAATGCACTCACCTGATTTCAGTATTCTTAAAACTGAAGTCCTTGGGATTCCAGTCCTTCTCGTAATCGCTCGTGAACTAGTAGAAGGGTCTCTTTCTACTATTCAATGATTACATCTCTTCTTTCTAGATCCACTCTGGGTAGTCCCTCGCGACGTTGATTACGCCCAGGAACGCGTCCAGCCATCAGGGTTTCGTGGGTCTTATTAAAAACCCTGTAGCCCGGGTAATGCTCTAACACTTCTCCTCGCCGCTCTAGTTGCTCTCGATAAAGCCGTGCCGCTAATGCGCCGTTTCCTTGGGCAACGCCGTAGAAATAGTGCATCTCTGCGTATTGACTGAGAGAATAACTCATTGCTAAAAGTAATCCAAATCACTAAGCAACTCAAGGTCCATAAAACAAGCACAAGTCAATCGTAAAGCAAATCAAGAATCCGGGAAACAAAGCGAAGGTAGTCAAATAAGAGATCCAAATAAACGTAAACGTGAGTAGTGGTTGCACGCGGGAAAGCAGTGAACGACTGGCGGGACCGAGCGAGGTGAAAAAGGGACGCGGTCGGTGTGGCGCGGGGCGCGGGGTGCGGCCTGGTAACAAAGTAGAGCGCAAAGCAGGAATGTTTACCTGAGCCTTTGTTTAAAGTTCCTTTGTGTGTTTGTGACTGAATGTGCTATCATTTAGTTTCAGTGAAATAAAAAAAAATGTAGTTTGTAGTAAAATGATACCTTAATAAATGTCACGTTTTAACAATAAGTAGTTTTCTTTGCTAACCTGAAGCATTTACTATCTTAGTTTAGCCCTAGAAATGATAAAAAGATTTTTTAAATCAAATTAACTATTTAGGTAGTTTCCTTCCTGAGTAACTTCAGAAGTCTGTAACAGAAAAACTGGCCTATTAAGTGTCATTTTTTTTAATGTTATTATGAAAGATTAAGGTACTGCAAAGTTTTTAAAATTAATTAGAAAGTATGAAATCATTTATTACTATTTTTCATTTAATGTTGAAAATTCAAGCCCCACTCTCCTGACAGAAAATTTTTAAGTTTCGTTTAAAATTATTGTATCTTCGGTGAATGTTAGGAAGCTAATTATTTTATGCATAATAGGGCAACTCATAAGGATTATGCTACAAACAAAAAACTTACAAATTTCACAATTACATTTTTTAATGTTAAGCTGTTTAGGGTGAATATTTTCAAAAAAAGGGTAAAAAAAAAATCATAACTCGAAAACTACAAAAAATCGCGTAACATACATAGGGTATTTTCGGATACCCCTAGGTGTGAGGAATCAAAAAAAAATTTTATAACCTCACTGTTTGGACCATCCTGTATATATATATATATATATATATATATATATATATATATATATATATATATATATATATATATATATATATATAATATATTTTTATAAATATTATTTTTAATAATTTTTTTCTTGTTTATTTCATATTGCACGTTGCGCCTATCCGTCAAAATATAAAATTGTAATGTCCTTTTGTGTTCGGTTTGTCAGGCAGAAATCGCTTAAAGCGATATGACCGCCGTTTGTAGTCATAAGTTTTCCGTTATTGTAATAACTTTGTTCAAATGCAATAAAGAGTTATCTATCTATCTATCTGCACCGTCTAAGGCATTGTAGCATGTCACGGGGATCCTCGTTATGGCCACAGTCAAGTTGGTGCGATCGGAAGTCCGAGTTGTTTGCTGTTTGTCATGCGAACGGCTGAAACATTCAAAAGATCTATGGCCAAATTTCCACAAGCGTAACATCTTGTAGAAGCAACACTTAACCTAGGACGTTTGATATCCTGCATATTATTTGCAACGGTCTTTATATTATCTTGATAACTCCGCTTAAGATATGAAAATGCCACAAAAATATTTCGTTGCAACCTTGGTTCGATTTGCACCATGTGAGCGAGTATTACAGATATCAGATACCACCGTTTCCTCCTGGTCTAATTTATCCCATCGTGACATGAGTGAGATAAATAAACGACTTGCATACGCAGCGAGACGTTCACCTTCTTGCGGTCTACCAGTAAACCTTTTTGAAATTGTCGCTGCACATGTTTCTAAAGTATCAAAGCGAGAAAAAAATATCTTTAAATTCTACCCACTTCATATTAGGAAAAAGCTATTTGGGACAACCATGTTGCGGCTGATCCTTTCATGGCCTTATTAAGAATTATAAGAATAAGTTTACTTCCCTGTATATCACGATCCGGCAAACAGATGTCTGCAGTTGCTAGCCAGGCTCGGGCATCAGTGTCTGCATTTTCGGGGTGGAATTCAGGCAATCCAATATTCTTTTCCTTGACAGCCGGCGGGTTGCGTAGCGCTTCCACAAGTAGTCGCATGCTATTTTGGTGCGCCTCAAATAAAGCGCGTAAACCGTCGTTCGCCTCGATCCATTTATCTGCGTTTTGTGCCTGGAAATGGTCATCGGTGAACACGGGTCTAGTGGGGGTCATTAGGGTTAAATGCAAGCATAAAACAAAGTATTCACTGTATTTGTACAATTTAATTAAAGTTTAACAATTTTCAAAATCACCAAAGGAATTACTACTTTGGAATCACTTATTTTAAATTAAAAACGTTTAATATAAACAAAGTACGAGCAGCAGGTTCGCGACACCGATCTCACGACTTCACCGTATGAACACCAAAAAAGGAATACATCTTCACCACGATCCACAAACACTAAAAATTACGCACGATTACGGTAACCGTCAAAATGGCGCCTCGACCCCACTCAAGGCTTAACCTCAGCTCTGATTGGTTGTAACATGTATGAAGTACAATACAGTAATTTTAATAAGATTAAATAAGATTCTACACAATAACAAAATCTAACAAATCAAATGAGCATTATTTTTTATAGAACAATCGATATCACGCGATGAAAACCAGCAATCAACTTGATTCAGACCACTTCCTCCGACATATATTTATCATTCTCATTCACAATTATATATTTATGGAACCCAACCAGATGAAAAAACTATATAGATACCCCAAAAAATAATAATAGTCAGTAATTATTATAAGCCCATATAGATATAGTTAATATTATAATAATTACTCACGAGAATAAATTATTATGATATCTACTTATCTTTACCATTGTCTAATTACAATATTCCTTAGGAGATTTGCATAAAGTATTCGTGTCTTACGAATATGTATATGAATGTCTATATAAATATCTTTGGAATATGTACTCTATGGCGCTGGCGGCAATCAAAAAGTGTCAAATATTGTGCGCTCGGCGCGGCGGCGACGATTGTATGCGATGTCAATAGAAGCCACTGGTGCGTGTATCTTGACCTTGTACTCTTGAATAGCTGCAAAATTTCTTTGACATGTAATTATTTTACCTTTGATGATGCCGACATCAAGAAACCGCGCACTATCAAAGTGCTGATGGTCAGAACTAGGGATGCACTCTCTTTTCTATTAATGGATATTTTCATTCCCTGTGTAAGTATGTTTATAGTATTGTTCGTAATGTGTATATAATCAATTTTCCAAATTTTTTTATATAATTTTTTGCGTCCCTTAGCGTACTCCTATACTACCTGAAACTACACTTAATCCTAACTGCAAGACGCAAGTGTCTCGCAGGCTTAGTCCTGTTCTTGCTCAAATCTTGCACGGTCAGTCTTGTTCTTGATCTTGCTAAAATTAGGCGATCTTGGTCTTGGTCCTGGTCTTGCAAAAATGCAAGAACAAGACCAAGACTGCAGACCAAGACTGATTTTGGGCAACACTAAAATTACATAAGTAAACGATTATACATAAAATAAGCCACTTTATTAATTTCGTTTTTTTTCATGGTAAAACATTATAATGATAGTCAAACATTTATTTAAATAGTCTTTAGGTATGTTCCCAACGCAAATTATTGTAAAAAATATTGGATTTTCTCAAACCGGGCTAATCGGGCCGGCAGCGAACCTGCTAAACAGTGTTAGGGGTTATTTGACGAAAAATAAGAGGCTTGGTAGGTTTACGAATGGTGGAAAATGGTTTGAACTGTTTTTGCAGCGTCACCCCAATTTTAGTTTTCGGACACTTGAAGCAGTCACAGCGCTGCATCAGCATCACAGCGCTGCAGTTTCAGAAAATGACATTAAGGGCTGGTTTAAGCAGATTGAAGGCTATTTATTTCATGTCCTCTCCGATCGTTGCTGTGTTTTTAGTGGGTATGAAACTAATTTCCTCCTTTGTCCTAAAACGGGCGTAGTATTAATTACGAAAGACTACAAAAACGTGTACGAAGTCGATAGCGCTCCAGCAAACACATCGATCACAGTCACGTTCACATTTTGTGGTGATGGACATTTTACCCCATCCATGATAATATTCCCGAACAAAAGACTGCCAGCTGATATATCTTCAAGGATTCCTCCAGATTGGCGAATGGGATTAAGCGATAATGGATGGATGGAGTCTAAAATCTTTGGAGTTTAACAGTGATTTCGCTACCTATCCGGACTAATTAAGTATGTAATTATTCTAAGATCCGGACCAAATAACGAGATTACCTTTTTTGGCATTAAGCTAAAATATATCGCCATTATTAGTCACTTTCTAAATAAATCTAATTGTTTTGTAATATTACACTTAGCTATCTAAAATCGTAATCTTTATCTTTGTGAATAAAAATGCTTTGTTGATCTTGAAGATTTGAATAACGTAACGTCGCCAAATTTTTTTTTTTGGTTTTTCTTACTTGGTCGGCGGTTATTAAGGTCTACTAAATTTCACTATAGGCCTTATTATATTCCCTCTTCACTATGTAGTTTTTTTGTTTTATAATGTATTTTATAGCACTTTTAAAATGTTTTAAATGCAAATAAATTCACCCGGTTCCAACTCGTTTTTTAAATTTATAGCACTTTTAAAATGTTTTAAATGCAAATAAATTCACCCGGTTTCAGCTATCCAAACAGTTCAAAGACAACGTATATCGAAGAATTAAGGCTTTGACATTAGAAGCCATTAAATTATGTGTAAATTATTGGTCCTGTGCCTAAGCGCTCTCGGACCCTGCCGGTTTGATATTTGATGACTGTCGGGGAATATAGAGCGCACCTGTGCTTGCGCATATATTCGAACACTATATTTCTGTATTGTGCCGAAAGTGAGTCAGACCGCTGTGACAAAAATTCGTTTGGGAGAACCCTCAACATAACAATCAACCCAACTCTCAACTCAAACAAACACTCATTTCATTTCGAGACAACCGCCATTCTGATATATAATCACGAGGAGTGCGTTTGTTTTTCAGTTTGATCATTATATCATTATACTAATGATTTTATGTGCTGTTAAGCGAGACAATTTATATTTTTTTAGAATTTTTAGTCTTAATTGCTGCGTTCATGTGATTATTGATCACAGATATAAAATATAATACCTACGTATAGTTTGAATATTTGAGTTCGTTAAAGCAGTAGGCCTTATTATCCTACCATAGTAAAATATCAAAGTAACAAGGTTATAATATGTTTAATTTTGTTTTTCTTTATGACGAATGTTACAGTTTTACGTTCATACTTTATAGAAACTGTACTAAGCCAATGATTTTTATTAAAATCTGTAGACCAAATTGGATATTTCCCACTTATTTTAGAATTTCCCTTAGCTGGACCTCATTACCTGCAGATACTATAGGTACATCTTATTTGAATGTCCCAAAGTCGCCTCTTATGACACCTACGGGATGAAACTTACGCTGTAAACTTACGTATATAATATTATATACCAATAATAAATACATATTGTGTTCACTGTTTGTTATTAAAATAAATGAAAAATAGGCTTTAAATGTCAACAATAATTGACATCTACGAAGAATTTAAAATGGTTAACAGAATTATGTGTTGATTTTAAAATAAGAAAAACGTTCAACCTCAAACTGTGTCACCTTTTTTTTTCTTCAAAGGACTGGAAATACAAAAGCGCCGGATAAGTTGTTATGTTTTGTTTCTAAACAAGAGGTTTTTATCGCTTCGTTGATATGAAGTACAGTCATCAAAGTAGCTATTTAATATTAAAAAAAATCTTTAAGAACGCTATTACCATCATGGTTATAGTAAACGTCATTAACTGACCTCATTTTTATAAGTGGTAGAGCCATGTTGCAGTTATATTAGAAGTATAGTTGTAGCATGAATGGGTCAGCTCGACCGGGGCAAGACCACGCTCTCACAGATTACCAGCGTGAAACAGTAGCTTAATGCTGCTATGTTTCGTATGGTGAGTGTAGAGAACCGGAGACCCTTTGTACTGGAAACGAGGCATTCCATCTTAGTTCTCACGGGTGACAACGCGTCTGCATTTTGATTCGTAATCGAGGACAGATGTAGATGTCTATGGGCCACAGCAACCACTTACCATCAGGTGGACTGTGTGCTCGTTTGTCACCCTATCCTATAAAAACAAAAAAAGAGAAAAGAATTTAACCTTTGGTAGCAATGAGGGGATTGGTCTAGACAAGACAGGGACGGACCGTAAATTTGTGAAGCCCTGGGATAACGTTATTTAAGGGCCTGCCAAATTAATCAAACTAATGGCCACTTTGTCAAACAACTGTTTCCTTTAATGATATAATTTTTAGTCCGGATTATTGTCATTGTCTAGTCTGGAGTGTGGTGCCACTCATGCTGACATCGCGGTTGCATTCTGCAGGCTGCTGCCCTGTTTGGCGCTATAAGTTGGCTGATTGTGATAGGTTGCGGTTTTTTTTGTATCCTACCCTTGGGGGTGGGCTTACTTCGGGTCGGATGATCCCAACGTTGTTGTTGATTTTGTCGCTGATGTGCGACTACTACTTCAGGGTTTGGAACTTTTCATTACATCTTCTGTGGTGCCCATCGGAGGCAGATCCCAGCCATGGTTTGGTCACTCATGCAAAATGATATCACGCTAAAAGCAGGAGTGCTACCGGGTCTGGACTGATGCACCAACGTCCTGGGATGTAAACACCGGCTCTCTAAAGAAGAAGTATAATTCCGCCTCCTTGTTTTTCAAAAAAGTCATTGCCAAGGCAAGATCACATCGGCAGCATTGACGAGAAACTGGTTTGCCTTCCTTCGGGAACCCGTGCATTCTGCTCTCGCCAAGGCTGTCTAAGAGAATTACTTTAAGCTATTACTTCCATTTCTGCACAGGGAGAACGACCTATTGGCCCACGCCGCAAAAGAGAAAGCCAATCTTTCAGGTTCCCTTTTTGCGTGACGGGAGGAACACACGTTAAGCACTCCTCTCCCTGAACATCCCTTTTATCTCCAATTTTACAATATTTAGGAAGGAAAGAACCAAGTCCACAAAAATCGAGTGGATCTGACGGAATTCCGCCGACTGAGCTGAGGGCGTGTGCTCTTGCGTTGGCACCGGTTCTAACGCGTCTTTTCCGGTACTCCTACTCTCTAGCTAGGAATTAGGTGTAAGACAGCTTTCATAA